TGTTTTTTTTAACCATAGAAATAGGTTTTGAATCTAAGGCAAGTAATCTAGGTATTTTTTCTGAGTATACAGCAATAAATATACTAAATAAAATAAGACAAATTTACCCAAAAAAAGCATGGAAAAGTGAGGTAGAATAATGAAAAACACCACCAGTATATATTTAAAACAGTTATTCTGTATAATTAGATTGATAATTATTATTATTTTCACAGGAGCTATATAGAAACACAAGTGTTAGGAGTACAAAATGCCACAGGTAGAGAGTGTTATGATCTCAGACAAGGTGTCTCGAAAGGCATTTGCTGTAAAGGTGATCTTCAAAGAAAGCCTTGTGGGACTTGTGGAAAGACAGAAACACAGAAGTCAGTGAGTCAGCTGTGTGACAGATGAGAGATGGGAGTCACTTAAAGTGACATGAAGATAGTGAACAAGGTGTGAGGTTCTGCCTGTGCCCTGGAGAGAACAGAAAGGATTTGTGCAAGGATATCAGGGATGCAGGAGAGGAAACAGCTTCTCAGGAGCTACAAGATTTAGGAAGCTGAGTGAAAAGGATGATGGCATCTCCACAAAGTGAGATTAAGGCATGGGTATGGAGAACTATCAGGGTAGTAGAGGTGGAAACCATGTAGCTTCTCATGTTAGACATGTTGAATTTCAACAGTCCACTAAACAGAGTGATAACAAGGACTATGCTGCATAAGAAAATGTGAAGATGAGCAAAAGTGAGCAGTTGAGAGGCTTCCACCTGGAGAATTTCTAGTCCTTTAACTGAATTATAACAAAGGAATAAATGCACTAGAGAAAAACCCAAAGATTATCATGATAACATCCTAAATTTATTATAAATACACAATTATTAACAAATGTAAAATAGAAAATGTCTCTATATAAATCTCTTTGGTTATTAAGAAATCTAAAGGTCTATACTGTTTGATGCTCACTTAAGTGTATATGAAGAAAGAGAAGGCAGAAGGGCACCCTGAAGTTACTAACAATGACAACCTCAGGATTATGCATATGGACCAGCCCTGTGGAGAGAGGCATTAACCATGCCTTTAGGTGTCTGTACTTTTACTTGTTGTAGTAGATAACTGCTATGATTTGTAGACCATCAAATAAAGAACAAAAAAATGCAGTTTGCTTCTCCTGCCCAATAGTCATTGCTGGTTTTCCTCTAGATGAGAAGAATAATAACACAAATTCACTGCAAAATACTGTGCAAAACATTAAGGCCAAGTTGGCAGAGCAAGGGGGTCTCTTGCTGTTCTGAAAATACACAGCATATCAGCCACAGATTCCAAAGGAAGAAGTTGGCACTGAAACTACTATGCCTTGAGCAAGAGCTCAGCTCTAACGAAAACCTCAGCTTACTCTTCTTTGGCTGCAGTTAGCTGCACTGAAGAAGATTAGCACTGATTCTACGAAGAGCCTCAGGCAAGCACATCCATGGATGCAGGAAGTTTCACACTGGAACAAGACAAAAAGCAAACACAGTTCAGGCTGTACCTGGAAAAGGGAGTTACGTTGTCACTGGCTTCAGGAGCAAGTTCTGGGTTGAATGAGCTGACTGGCTATAGATTTGAATTGACTTTCAAGCCCAGCTGTGCTGCCCAAGCTCTTCACCTGGACAAAATCACTAAAGCAATGAACATAGTGGGATAGTGGTGGTGGTGATGATGATAGAAACAGCTTACTTCACAAGAAATCGTTTATTAAGTCAATTTATAGAAAATACCTAATTCAATGCCCGGCAGACAAGGTGCACATAAGTAATTCCTATTATTACATTACTATAATTCTTTTAAACATCAGCATATTTAATGCTGTGGATTGAATGACATTTGTCAAAGAGATATGGTGAAGTCTTAATCCCTACAATCTGAAAATACGATTCTATTTAAATTTTAAATTTCTGTAGATGCAATCAAGTTAAGAAGAGACCACACTGGGCTACAGTGAGACTTAAGCTAGTGCCTAGTGTCCTTGCACACACACACAAAAATTATACACACACATGCAGTCAAAAAATGACATGGAGAGACAAAGACAGATCCTACAAGTCAAAAAAAGCACCAAGCATTTCCATGAAGCAGCAGAATCTAAGAGAGAGACAAAGATCCTTATCTCCTGAGGAACCTATAGAAGAAATAAAATTTGTTGACATTTTGATTTCAGATTTGCAGCTTCATGAACTTTGAGGCAATAAATTTGTCTTTAAGCCACCAAATCTGTAACAATTTTATAGCAGTCATAAGTAACTAAAGTTTTGGAAGCTATTGATAAACTTTGCTTCATTACCATGGGAACCATCTTAGAATTTATCAGTCTCGTTAATTTAGATGCAATGTATTCCTAATAACATCTGTTCACTGGACACTTCATTTAGTGGCTTTCATAATAGATCAAAGAAGGCAAAAACAGCCATTGGCCGTCCTGAGAAGTAAACTGCTCAGCTGTAGTAAGCATTAAGTAAGTAGCAGAGACACACAATGGACCAAACTGAAAATCAGCATAGAAGAGGCTTTGACTGGAGTCTTTTAATGACCATAGAATCATTATGCTATTTCTTAGGAGATCTAACAAAATAACTAATATTGATTACCATATTTGCTATGTACCATTCAGTATTCTGGGACTTTGTATTTACTAGCCTGGTTTTGCTCACTGAAATTTGAGGGGAATTGATGTGTTAAACAAAATGAAAGGAGTATATTTTAAAATTTCTCTCTCTCTCTCTCTCTCTCTCTCTCTCTCTCTCTCTCTCTCTCTCTCTGTGTGTGTGTGTGTGTGTGTGTGTGTGTGTGTGTGTGCGTGCGTGCGTGCGTGTGTGTGTGTGTGTGTGTGTGTGTGTGTGTGTGTGTTCTACATCATCTCAGAAGTTGCCTGACACATGTGCCACTGATCTGTTTGCTGGAACTAGTCCCAGGAGGCCACTCTGGGCTTCTTGTTACAGCATTTAGATGTTTTTCAATTATCATTTTTTTTTTTTTTTTTTGGTTTTTCGAGACAGGGTTTCTCTGTGTAGCTTTGCACCTTTCCTGGAACTCACTTGGTAGTCCAGGCTGGCCTCGAACTCACAGAGATCCGCCTGGCTCTGCCTCCCGAGTGCTGGGATTAAAGGCGTGCGCCACCACCGCCCGGCTTCAATTACCATTTTTCATCATTATACTTAAAATCATATAACTCTCATCTGTTAAACAAAAGAATAAACGATTGAAATTCCACTGACACACATCACCATCCACTTTGCAGGCTGGTAATTACTTTAATCCATGAAACCTTTGAAGTTTGGATGAAGAGCAAGATTGGCTTTAAGGATCTGCTTGAAGTTAGTACCCTTATTACTCTGTTTCTCTCTTTACAGAGAACATTGCAGTTAGGAGCTTACATTGCATCTACAGGAATAAGCTTTCCGTCTTCTTTGCCACTCAGTGATGTAAACATGTTCCCAAGTTGGTCACCCAAATAGAAAGGACTGGGTGGCCTTTATCAGCCAGGTCTAGGTGCCACCTTTATCTCTCTCTCTACAGCTGGATCCACACTCTGAGGAGCAGCAACTGTCAGCACAAGTGTCTTTTCCATGTCCTTCATGAAAAATGGGCTCTTTACTTGGAAGGGATTTGGAAAAAAGATTTTTTTTTAAAAAAAGTGCATAAGGAGGAGCTGATGAGAGTGTGTCTATGCCATTTTTTTTTTGCTGCATGTTTTCACACAGCCCTTCTCAATACTCATATTTACAGCCATAAATTAATGCTGTGTCCAACCTTCAATAGAAAAACTTCTTACTGCTTCAGGCAGTAGTTAATGCAGAAGGTCTTACAGAAGGATTTGGCATGAAGTCACTCCTCCATAGAAATCCTTTTCCTTCCTCCTTACTTATATATTGCAGCTGTGTCAAGTGCATGACAGATACCGAATGAGAGAAGAGCAAGGTGAACATATCTTGGTATTCATGAAGCTCAGATGCATGTTGGGCATTTAAATGTGAATACAATTGTGGATGTGGATGGATACTGACAAATACCGTTGATTATCAACCACAGTGATTTTTGACCCAAAGAGGACAATCTACAAGTTTCAGAGAGGGTTTTGGTTGGCACATTAGGGTGTGTATGTTATTTGCGCATAAATGTGGTGAACAAGCCTCACTCATATAAAATAATTACTAAGCTTAGTTTGTCGATAGCAAGTTAAGAAGCTCAGATATTGGGATTGATTGGGCAGGAGACAAAAAGGGAGCAAGAAAAAAAACACAAAAATTTTAAAAGCTATTAAGAATAATACAGAAAGAAAATACATAGCGTTTCCAGAGATATTGAGGTATGCTTTGTGTTAAAAAAAAAAAAAAAGTAACAGTTGCGTTCCACTTGAGGAGTTGAGCCTGGCATAAAACACATATTCCGTCTTGATAATATGTGAGGAAGAACATTCCAGATTGAAGGACCAGAGTTTGTAATCTCTAAGAGTATTATTCTTGCAGATTAAAAAAATATATTCATTTCAGTCAAAACAAAGATTTAATCAGTCAATATTTTTTGCTTTAGTTTTTCAAGCCTTCATGCATTCTTGGATTTTTATATTATGTGTGCACTACTATTAGAAAGACAAAGGCTTTAAACTTGAATAGATTTAGTAGCAAATCCTGTACCTAGATATTTAACTGTAAAAATCTACCTAACATCTTAAAGCTTTCAAGCTTTGTTTTTTCTTCACCAGATTTTTTTTTTAAAAAGCACAGTTAGTTCTGAATAGTAAATTCAGTAATTTATTGGCAATGCGATTAATAACTGCCTCTTTCTGTTACCAGATTGTTCTGGAAATGGGAGTGAGAAGAGACGCATCTCAAAGCCTACAGACATTTTCCAGTGTCTGTTAATTATCAACAGCAAGTTAAATAGGCTAGACAAATCTCAGAATTTTATTTTTACTTTTTCATTCTCTCTTCTCTAGCATCCTCCCACTAAGCAAGTTCAAAAGCAAACAGATGAGACGCCGCCATGATCATCCCAGTTCGCTGCTTCACCTGCAGGAAGATCGTCGGCAACAAATGGGAATCCTACCTGGGTCTGCTGCAGGCCGAGTACACTGAAGGGGATGCCCAGGATGCTCTGGGCCTGAAGCGCTACTGCTGTCGCCACATGCTGCTAGCACACGTGGACCTGACTGAAAAGCTGCTAAACTATGCTCCCCTGGAGAAGTGACTCCCGGAGCTTACTGTCCTCCTCTGCTGGCTATGGGCAGTCTGTCACGCTGAGTTCAAACTGAGGTGTTAGGGAGGTGGGCGGGGTGCCTGGCTGTGGCCGGGTCCCCTCACCCTGGAAGAAACGGTTCAGTAAAGACCTTTGCAGAACCACCAGCAGATCTAACTTTGTAAGGTTCTCAACATCATGCCTATACTGTCTTTGAAAAAAAAAAAAAAAAAGCAAACAGATTCAGTCTTCTTGGTAGATGTGTAAAAGCTTAGTATTTGACAATTAAGGTATACAGCAGAAGCTAAACAGGGGAGCTGTCCAGCATGTACGTAGGAATTTAGGGACAAAATGTGTGAGAAGCTAATCCCTCTGTTAGCATTAGGGACAGCATCAACTTCATAGCAATACTGGAAAGGAAACAATCCTAAGGGATAACAAAGATCACTTAAGCTTAAAAGGCTTCCATGGAAAGGGGAAAATCTATGAAGTAAGTAGAGTGACACAGAGAACAAAGTGCCCCAGAATTCTAACGAATGGAGGTCATCAGCACAACTAGATTGGGTGAGAAAGATGAAGAATTAAAACTACCAGATTTCCTATGTACAAGGGCACTTGTATCTCTCTAGGCATCCTGTTTGGTGGAGGGTTATGAAGAGAATGAACATTCCAAAGTTCCCACATGGCATAGAGCCACACAGGCAATGTGCAGGAAAGATGTTTCAAGCCTCTCACACCAAAGGCAAGGAAAAAGATGGGATGCATCTGACAAAGGAGGTGGAGCTACAGTAGATGTGAGAGTACTAGTTTAAGAAAGCAGTGAGGGAGGAGAATTGGAAGAAGCTACATGGAAACTTGGAACACTATGTAGCAAATTCATGAGAATCCTGACTGTACCTCACCGACTTTTGTCAGTGGAGATGGTTAATGGTAAGTACTTAAGTAAAGAAAGCAGTTGACAAAAAATCATAGATTTTGGAGTATATCAAATCCCTTTAAACATAAAGAAAGAACTGCTGAACTCTTGGCACAGCCCAGCTGAGACGAAAGAGAATCAATTGGTCAAGGACTAGAAATCGCATCTGTGTGGCTTTCTTCAACAATAGTACAGAACAGAGCACAAGCCAGAACACTAGGCAGTGGGCAACTTGAGTCAGTGTGTAAAAGGGATGAAAATGGAGAAGGCCAAAACTGAAACAAAAATTAATCAGCATCTCAGAAGGCATAGATTTGATCTGTGATTTGATGTTTAGGATCACTGAGAAGATGGAGGGGAAGAGGGGCGCAAGAGGATGAGGATGAAAAGCAGGAGGAACTGGGGGAGAAGGAGAAGAAGAGACAGTCTGTTTTACAAGGTTATTTTGTTATTATGGAGAGGAGGAATAGAGGGGGAGGAGAAACAGAGGGGGGAAGGAGAGAAGGAGAGATTATAAGGTGGAGAAAGACAGAGACAGAAGCAGAGAGACAAAGAGAGAGAAAGGTGTTTGCAGAGGTCAGAGGACAGTTCCATGCAGTCAAGTGCTTGGGCTCTAGAAATCAAACCCAGATCTTTACCTGGGTTCTAGAAATCAAATTCAGATCTTTACCTGGGTTCTGGAGGTCAAACTCAGATCTTTACCTGGGTTCTAGAGATCAAATTCAGATTTTTACCTAGGTTCTGGAGGTCAAACTCAGATCTTTACCTGAGTTCTAGAAATCAAATTCAGATCTTTACCTAATTTCTGGAGGTCAAACTCAGATCTTTACCTGGGTTCTAGAGATCAAATTCAGATCTTTACCTAGGTTCTAGAGGTCAAACTCAGGTCATTAGGCTTGTATAGTATGTGCCATTACTTCTGAGCCTAGAGTTATTCTTCTTAAGCTAATTTTCATCTAACATATGTTGTATATCCACCATAGGTGGGCCATAAGTAAGATGTAAGAAACAGCATTGAGTAAAATCCAGTCTTCCTTCAAGGATCTCTCCATGCAATGGAAAAGAACCAACTCTCACCTTAAGTGTCTTGTCTTAGAAGGCATCAGATTCTATGGGAAAGAATGCTTCTGAGATCACCTCAAACTCCAGAGAACATTGTAAGGACAAGAATATACCTCACAGAACCAAAAGAGAATATGCACTTCTCCAGGAGAGTATTAGAAGCATAGATAGTAGGGCTCTAAGAAATCACATCGATCTCAATTGCTGTTTGATCAAGTCTTGCTATATGTCCTGTCTTTCTCTGATGTCTTGTATTACCTCATAGGAGCTTGAAGAATCAACATTTTACCCAGCTAATAAGGCAAGCAAAAGATATTAAGGTCAATTTATACTGATGCCAAGTTCTGGAAAGCCCTGCTAAGGAACTAGATTGGCTGCCTCTGGCCCAGATGCTCACAATTCTACCTATCAGTTGGAGGGCTACAAGGCTACCTCATTTAAATGAAGAGGGAATTTAAATGGGGCAGATGAGAGGAAGAAAAAGAATATTCAAGTGCTCGCTCTCAGTGGGGGATATGGCTACATCTTTCACTTGGTTTTCACTGCAAAGCAGAGGTCAATTATGCTCACCATTTGTTAGGGATATTTGATATATCAGACATTATACTGTGTATGGTGGGGTGGATCTTGAATTGGTATTTATAAAAGCAGAGACAATGGCTTGCGTTTGGGTAGATTATTTAAGAATATAACCCCAGGAATGAACTTTATGACATGAAAAAAGGAGACAAAACAAGAGAGTGATCAGTTCTTAGAGTTTCTAAGGATCTTCAGGAAATATTTGCCAAGTCTGTTCACTCAATAAGTGTGTAGAGGGATTATTCATTCATCCCTCACCTCATTGGTCTAGGACAGCTCCAGAGTTGTCCTTTCTCCCAGAATTATAATATGTGTTTAGGGCATTCTGATCTTCAGGATCATAGAAAGTATAAGGCAGGAAGTGATAGAGTGTCACCCTGGGACTGGGGCATTTACATCTGGTGAAATTAGTCCAACATGTCTGAGATTGATCACTAAAGAAATCACTGCACAAAACATGGAGCCAACAGAATATGAAAACATGCATATTGGGATTCTTCTACAAGCAGTGTCAAAAGATAAAGGCTAGATGTCCAAGGCAGAGTGCTAGAAGGCAAATATAAGAGCAAAATGAAGGAAGAGAGAAAGGAAGAGAGGAGAGAGAGAGAGAGGGAATGAGGATCTCATTAATTTCCCTCAATTGTCTTGTTGTTTAAACATTTAAGTCTCCAATTAAATATGAACAAAGTCATACTCAGGTTAGATAAATAACGTGCCAAAAATCATGCAGCCAGAATTAAAATCTAAGTTCACTCAGCCATAATATTTATGCAGAAGTTAATTAGACATAGCCTCTGCCTTCAAGAAGATTGCATTTCTGCACATCACAGCATTATAAGGGATCATCTAAGTGAGCAAGAGGAAGCCAGGAATGACTCAGATACTCCAAAAATGTTGATTATGTCTTGTCTCTAAATAACTTCAGGGTATCGAGGGACTAAAAACACAGACAAGTATGGGTTGTGATACTCTTGCTGTGTTCTTTACAGATTCAGCTGTTGAGACTTAAAGCGAGAGGCATGGAAAGGCCAGCACATGTCTGCCTAAGGGTTCCAGTTGAATTGCTGCCAGCCTGAAGGCCTTGGCAGTGTCAGTACTAAGATCTAAAAGCAATGAACTTAGCACTGGACAGAAGAGAAGGCTCTGCATTTGAACTGAGCACTTAGCCTTCTACAAGATTAAGGCTTGCCCTCTGGGATTCTGTTTTCATCCAAAATTTTAATGTTTGTAACATACTTAGCATATTAATGATATGAGTTCCTACATGTTGTCCTCAGGGCATATACAAGTGTGGACTTTGGGGGCTATTCGGGCCTACAACTATTGCCAGTTATTCAAGTGGAATACTACCAAAGTAACAGGAATCTTGAGAAAGTACTAGCATACTGAGATGTGGGCAAAACTTGCAGCTGAGGTTGAAGTATTGACTGATCTTGGGCCAACCATCATACATGCAAAGATTACCCCAATGGTGGCTGGCAAGGAATAAGGCAGAAATTTTAAGAATTGATGATGAGTAGTGTTGGGAAAAATGTTAAGAAGAATGAAGAAGCCAATCTGAGTCTTCATGACCATGCATGATTCTGTAACTATGAGAGACATTTGTCCACTTACCATATTTCCACTACCTTATGTTTGTATTCTTTTATTCCACAAACATTTACCATAGAAAATATCATTATGCCAGATACTCTAAATACACAAAGAAAGATTCCTAGTGTCCAGGATTTGATAGTACAATGAGGCTGAAAGGTAAAGCAGACACACACATACACAAATGCCAACTAAAGCCTGTCATATTGACAATCTTCACTGGGCATTGTGAGAATGCAAAAATCTTTAATTAAACCAAATAGGGTATCCTGGTGGTTTGGCTAGGAAAGAATTCCAGTGTTAGCAAGTAGGAGGGAGACATTTCTATGAGGAAAACTGAAAGGTGAGATAATAGAGCTGACTGTAAGTGGGTGGGATGAGAAAATAAACATGATTGGTATGTGTTGTTATTAGACATCCCAATAGAGATGGAAAATGAATAGTTGAATGGTGAGTATGAGATTTGAAAGTGATGTCTGGCATTCAGCAAATTAATAGGGTTAAAGCCTGATATTAGATTCAGTCATCAAGAGAATGGACTTGTAAGGAAAGAACACATGAAAAATACCACATGAGAAATACCATGCTCAAGGCTGTACCCAATGAAGACCTTAAGTAGTCAGGTCACTTAGAAAAAACAACCAGGACAGGAGGAACAAAGCCAAGAATATCATTTTGTTTTTACTGTATTAAAATGTACTTAACAAGATGATTAATTAATAAGTGTACAACACAGTGACATTAAATTGATCACAATATCATGTAACCATCACTGATATCTATATCCCAAATTTTTAAAGTTCTCCTTAATGATGTGTCTAATAAAATAAATAAATAATGCTCTGTTTCCACTTCTCTGAGTTCTGATAGCCTCTTCTCTACTTTCTGTAAGCATGAATTTGCCTAAGTATTTCATGTAAATAGGATCAATATAATTTTTGCCTTGCCATGAACAAC